CTATTTGGTTTTGAAACGGAATAATCAAAGAATGAACCATACACGGGTTAATTTAGTTCTCAAGCATACACATTAAACAATGTGTGTTTTGGCATTTACAGGAATATAATTTCAGTCAATATTTATTAGTACAGGTTGAAGGTTTTTTTACTCCTGTTGTTGTTTGTCATCCATTTCACAAATGTAAGTAGATTTTTGCTTATATCCAGAGCTTTGTAAACCTGAATAAGAGAACAGAACCTATTCTGAACTCATTATTTCACTTAAGCCATCATACAGAAGCATAAGAGTTTGCTTGATATCATATATTTTCTGCTCTCTTCTGCATAACAAATCACCAGGTGTTGCACATTGCACATTTTCTCAAATAGTCTATTAAAGGCACTGAGTCAATAAATACAGCATATTATAATGTAAGCACAAACAGACTGTTGCACAGCTTTTGTCATGACATGCCATGTGACGTGTAGAGTGTGCTGATGTGCACGACTTCCTGTCTGATCACTGGTCCCACACTGACACTAAGACTATTGAAAATCTTGAATCAATTCAGTGCTTAACTGCATATCTAGTATTGGATCTCAATGAATAACTTACCACTCTGACCTCTTGCTCCGGTCTACACTGCAAAGTTGGTTCGGAAACATGTACAGCTGAACCAAAGCCACCAGTCGCTGGTCATGACCCGCCCTACTCTGTTTCTGATTGACTAGTAGTCCTTAACTAGGTACTGTGCATGTGCAACTCCCAACAAAGATTCATTAGGAGTGAGATGCATCACTCCGTAGCTAAAATGGAGCGTTCAACACAAAGAGGTTCTGCAGCAATGTGTAGTATGACAAAAAATATGGTGTTGTTTGAAAATGAAACCATGTAAAACCAAGTACAACCCCTAAATAAAATTATGAACCTGAAAATAAGCATAATATGACCACTTTAAATGCACCTCTGTGCTGCTACAAAGCATATTTGAAACACCTTTTTGTTAGATGATTTTAATAGTGAAGCATGAATCAAATAAAGGGTTATGAAAGGATTTACCTTGGAGTTAAAGTGCTAACCCTATATTCATATAGGTGTAACATGATCAACCAGTCCACCAAAGGTCATTCATTTTGTATAGAAGTAAATGACCCGTCAGTGCTACAGGTTATCCAGACCAGTTATCGCATGTCCGTGATGCTATGATGGTGGCCTTGAGTGCTGAAATCTATAGAAGTGGAGCATGCTTCCAACGTTTACCGCCTACCAAGGCTAAAAGGGATATGGGTAAAAATATTTGATGTGTGATGGGTTTATTTCCCTATAAATAAATAAACTTTCCTGTGCGATCCTAAGAGGCAATGTCTGTCCCAGAAATATAACCTGATGCTTCAATTTGTTCACTCCACCCTGTTTCTCAGTGTTACACCACTTTGTTTTTATCCTAGTTATAACATCTCCTTTGTCTTGTGGGTTAGGATCATGCTTTTTCTGTCCAAATCTTACACAGCACACACTTCTAAGTTTATTTTCGTAACCATGTTTCTATTTGCGACATTAATCAGCTACAGTACATCTCCCGCACATGGATCTGTGTCTCTTTGATCAGTTGCATCCCTGTGTGGATGTGCTCAAAGGTTCTTGTATGTGTGATGGAAATACGGCTCTTTCTCAACTCAAGAGCACCTCTGCTGCAGGCGAACAAACCAGCCTCCAACACTGTTCAAAAAGTCCACACGCTCTGCTGGGGCGGCCAAACCATAGACGAGCATGATAACAGTCCCCTGTGTTATCTCTCCCACCTGCTCCACACTCATTTCAACGGCTGTATTTTGTTGTATTCTGCTCTTGTGTATCATTGTGCACAAATGCATTCATCTGTAGCATGCCTGTTACTTTTCATTTGGTGAAACGTCACTGTTGTTGTTTCACAGCAAAGTAGCTACAGTGTGAAGTGTCATCCTTGTTGTCTGCCCTCTGGACTCTGGAGATCCTTTGTAGAAGAGGATGAAACACAATCTACCAATTCATTGAAAAAATGTGTTTTATGTTAATTAATGTGTTCATTTCATGACAAGAAATATTTTATAGTTGCAAAACATTGTTACATATTAAATTCTAACAACTAAATTTCCAGTTCCAAGCTGTCTTCTTAAATTATATTCATATACAACTATTTTGATTATCGTTATGGTTTGTAGAAAACTTAATGCTGCCTGAATTACATTGTTAATTAACATAATGAGGAAACATTTATAATTAGGCACCTTGTTAAAGCATAATTCAGGTTTATTACAATGTCCCTGGTTTAATTGGCTATAATAACATAATACACACCTAGGTATCTCTGAGTCTCTGTGCGGACTAGTTCCAGCTCCCACCGAGTGAACACGACAGCCGGGACCAAACACATTCTCTGAGACCGACAGAGGCCAGTTTGATGAGAGGGAATATAGTACCAAGGAGGTTTTCTTCCCAGGTTTGGGTTTTGGAACCCCGCGATTGGAGTCAGCCTGGCTAATGTTAACCGAGCTAACTAGCTACAGATGCAGACAGATAGTTAGCAGCATTTAACGGTTTAACAAAAACTAAAGCTATCTGTCCATCCTGACGCTCTATAACATTAAATCCCCTCGGTACTGTATTCCTTTTTGGTCTTTGAGGCTGTGTTTGGTCCTGTTCAGGCTGTGTACACTAGGAAGCTGCTGGATGCGGTGTCACTGCCCGCTCACCCCGACCTGTTCCGGAGTCGCTGCCCGCATTCACTGTCTGCTGGGTCCTGGCCATAAACTTTACAAACCTCCCGGCCTGAAAACCTCCATGACTTGAGTAATATTAGAAGTGTAACAGTAAACACTAACACTTCCCCAGTATTCCAAGCTCCCAGTCCAAGCAGAGCCGGCTAATATGACAGCTAACTGAGCTAACTAACAGCAGCTAGTAAGTTAGCTGTTACTTTAGCAACAAGTAAAGCTATCTGTTCATCAGCTAACTCTGTAAATCACAGCTAATTGATGCAGGGCAGCCTGGGGACATCAGAGGGAGAACCAGAAAATATTGTTCTCCATCAAATATGCTCCGTATTTATATGATCCAGTTTCACCAAAATCAGACACACTACACTTCGGTGGCGTCATAACAATGAGAAAGCTTTTCATTGGACACTAAATTAATACACACCCCTGAGTGCAGGATGAGTCATCAAAATTTTTAAATCGTTTTCCAGGAAGTGTCAGACTCTAAAATACCATGAAAAATACCTACAAAACAATGTTTTTTATCATTGTTGGGCCAGATGCTGATGATTTGGTGACATATAGTGCAAGGCATATGCAATAAAAACAAATTGACATCGATTTAGATTTCATGGGGACTTTAAATCTTTATTGCAAAAAGAGAAATAAAGCATACATGGGACATAAACAAGTATACGGAACTTTAATTTGTGCAAAATCACATATTTTGCAAACATGTAATTTGTAATATGGTTATAACGGTTAGTTTTTTGTCCATGTAGACTGAACTACATGTCTGCGTGTTGTTTATATGCTCTGATAATGCTAATCAACGCATCTTTGTAGTAGCATCCATATTAATTCCACATTCATGAACACACACTGAAGTCAAAAGAACGACTTCACAACTCGGGAAATGAATGCACCGTGAGCCTCTGGTTCCAATTTGCAATCCTCACCACTAGATGCCACTAAAACTTGCACACTGAACCTCTAAAACAGGGGTATTCAATCAAAATTCAAAGAGGTCCAGTCAGAGAACATTTCTCGAAGCAAAAGTCTGGAACATCATAACGACTAAATTGCATTATCATTCAGTATAGTTGTGTCAAATTATGTTTTATGTCAACAACCGACTGTCAAATCACATAATATTTCAACAATATTTACAGTCAGTCACATCTAACTGGAGGGATTATAAATAAATTAAATAATAAATAATAACTACTGTAATAATAAATTCTAAATTTAAGTAAACTAAAAAAGTGCTTAATTTCAGAAAAAATTAAATAAAAAGTGTAGCTTGAAGTGACTGAAGTGTAGTCCCAACCAATTTTATAATAAAGACACATCTTAACAAATGAACAGCTATAATACCTCCTCTTCTTTTATTCCCTCTTATATAGCCTACCACTTTCCAACCTTGTGTTTTTAAACTACCTGTGGGAAGAAAGTACATGTAAGAATCTGTACATTCTTTATTAAAAGCCATGTGAAATCTCTTTTCTCTTTCATCCCCTCTCTCCATGTGTGCTGCCAAAACATCTCTGGTGTATTTCACCGCGGAGTCGACTTGCAATGCTTATCGGAATGCACAGATTTGATTGGCTGAGCAGCATCACATGAGATGTTTGCGTACATGCAATTAGTCTGTGAGTTTGCTGGGCCACTAAATCAGTATAGTAAATGCAAGAAAAGCTGCGCGGGTTAAAATACAAAACGCTTCGTCACGAGGTAGTAAGTCTCAATAATAAATCTGCTGTAGGTCGGCGGTCTGGAGAGGACGGTGGCTGGGTCCATATCCAGACCACGGTCGGCCAATTAGTGACCTCTGCTTTAAAAAGTAACTGTTGGCTTGAAGCGTTCCCTTTTTAATTTTAAACAAACTTATCCAAAAACCTTGATCCAGTTCATAACCTAAAACTAAGAATACCTGTGACTCTTTTGTCAAAGAACCAAGCTTTGCACACACAGCCATCCACCCCAATCTCCTCTCTATGACTTCTGTGCAGTACAAGGATGTCACACTTCCTGGATTACAAAAAAACTTGTCCATTAAACACAAGGCGGTCTGCAATTACGTTTTCTCCAAAACAAAATCTCAAAGCAAATTAGCAGAATATAAACAAAATGTGTAGGACATGGGCCAGCTAGTTTACATTGTCAAACCCAATTTGTCTGGTTCACATGCACATTATCTCTCAGCAGTCCAGATGGTCAATTGCTCTGTCTTCCATTCTCTACCCTGCTTGACCATTACCCTCCCTCCTCCCCTCCCTTCAGCCCCTTCAGCCCCTCCCCAGGAGGTACACTTGCTCAGTCTCAGCTCCACCAGCATCAAGGTGAGTTGGGTGGCACTGCCCAAAGACAGCCATCATGGGGAGATAGTGCGCTACTCCTTAGCCTACCAAGCACTCACAGGGGACAATGTGGAGTGCCACCAGGTGACAGGGATTGGTGCTGATGTCACCAGCTATGTGCTAGAGGAGCTGGAGAAGTGGACTGAGTATTTGGTGTGGGTGAGGGCTCACACTGACGTCGGGCCCAGCCCCGAGAGCCTCACAGCCCGCATCAGAACCAAGGAAGATGGTATGTTGATGATGTCATGTCAGGGAGACACCTGGGCCTCCCTGGAAATACTAATCATCTAGTACTCACTCTGTTCCTCTCCTGTTGCTGCACTTTTTTTCGCAAACTGTAGCTTAGAGCGTAAAACATTTTATGGGCATGGATGAAAAGTGAAAACTTCCCTTGGGGATGGTTTCTGATAAATTGATCATAAACATGGACCTCTTAAACACAATTATAAGTGAACTTGTATGAACTATAAGGCAGGTCCTGTCTTTTTCGCATATATTGCTAAATATACTTCTATTACCAAGTAACCCTAGCAAATTTGTCCCAGGGTCTTGAATAATTCATACTGTAAAATGCAATAATAAACTGCATCAATTTGGAATCATTTCATTTTTGTTTAAATAAAAACATGTGGCGTTGATTAATTAATAAGATCCTAAAACCCAGACTATTCTGCAGAGGAAAGTTCATTCTGCATTATTTTTCAGCATGTGATGTACTGTACAGTGCTAACATTCAGTGCCAGTACAGGAAGTGTAGCAAAGTGAAAAGGGGGTCAAGGTGGTGGATATAAATTTGTATTTGTATAGCGCCTTTCTATTCTTTTAGAGTGCTTTTACACTACATCTACATTCATACACAGCCGGAACAGCCACCAGAGGCAATTCGGGGATCAGTATCTTGCCCAAGGACACTTCGACATGTAGCCAGGAGGATTGAACCTCTGACCTTCTGATTAACGGGCAACCCGCTCTACCTCTTGAGGCACAGCTGCCCCAATAGATAGTGTATGCAAACATTTTTTGGGATACCAGAGTAATCCTACTTTCATTGACAAGTAATTTAACTTTTTTTTTATTATCACCAAAATCTCTCACTAACCTTAACCAAGTGGTTTGGTTGACTAGCCTTAACCATATTTTATTTGTCATTGTCAAACATGACAAATATGTCTATAAATCTATAACCACACACAATTTTAACACAGAGGCTTTAAACTTTTACTTGGTAATATTTACCAATGACATATCAAATATTATGCCTAGTTTGTATACTCTGTGATATCTTTATTTAATGGTGGAGAAACACGATCATAGGTCACAACAAACGCTTGTGCTCATTTCAAAATCTAGGGAGGCTCTGCCATTCGTAGCATACATTCATTATTACTGTCACTGCTGCAAACTCAGAAGCAGTTTATTGTCTTAGTGATCACCACATCATCAACACATTTGCTGATGTGTGATGTTACTGATGATGTACATTCCTCAAGATTGATGTGATTCTCCTCGGTGGCAGCATCTCTAAACATGTCCCAGTCTGTGCTCTCAAAACAGTCATGTAGAGCTGTTGTAACCTTTGCAAATAAAAACCACAGGGTACCTTAAGTGCTGGAACTATAGAAAATTGTGATGAACCATAACAATTCATCCATCCACCCATTACTTTTACATTACATATCATTTATTTAGCTTGTGCTTCTATCCAAAGTGGCTTACAATAAGTGCATTCAGCCATGTGGAACCAACCCAAAAATTTCAAGAATCATACATCAACTTCATCAGATATGCTGAAATGCTTCAAGTGCTGCATTTAGAAACAGTAAGAGACAGAGGTGCATTCTGAAAAGATGTTTTCAGTCTGCAGTCCTAATGTCAATGGGGAACTCATTCCACTATTGTGGAGCCAGGACAGCAGTAGCAGCACGTAGTGGGCAGGGTGAGATGTATGGTAGCGTGGGATGACTTGACTAGGTTGAAGACCAGCTAGTATTGATGAGGTGGGTGAGAAAATCAAGGAGGTTGGGAGCAATAATAATCGTAATGTTAATGATTATAATAACAATAGGACTAGTAACAATAGTCGTTGCAGCAGAGGGTGTCGAGCAGGAACACGGGGGCAGCAGGTGACCTGCAACCACAGATCCAGACTCCACAGCTCCAGAGCCAGAAAACCTGCAGGAAGTGATAGGAGGAGAGAGGAGAGGGACGAGAAAGCACAAGACTACCGGAAAGGGGAGAAGTTGTGTTAGTAACATGCAATAATGGGATGAGGTTGCATACAGAGGGAGAGAAAGTAAGGAGAGAGGAGCTCAGTGCATCATAGGAAATCCCCCGGCAGTCTAGGCCTATAGCAGCATAACTAAGGGATGGTTCAGGACTCACCTGAGCCAGCCCTAACTATAAGCTTTATCAAAGAGGAAAGTCTTAAGCCTACTCTTAAATGTGGAGATGGTGTCTGCCTCCTGAACCCAAACTGGAACCTGGTTCCACAGGAGAGGAGCTTGATAGCTGAACGCTCTGGCTCCTAGTCTACTTTTGGAGACTCTAGGAACCACATTCTGGGAGCGCAGTGCTCTGGTGGGGTAGTAAGGTACTATGAGCTCTTTAAGATAAGATGGTGCCTGACCATTAAGAGCTTTGTAGGTAAGAAGAATGATTTTAAATTCTATTCTGGATTTTACTGGAAGCCAATGCAAAGAAGCTAAAACAGGAGAAATGTGATCTCTTTTCCTGGTTCCTGTCAGAACACGTGCTGCAGCATTCTGGATCAGCTGAAGAGTCTTAATGGACTTTTTTGAGCAGCCTGATAATAAGGAATTGCAGTAATCCAGCCTAGAAGTAACAAATGCATGGACTAGTTTTTCTGCATCATTTTTAGACAGGATGTTCCTGATTTTCGCAATATTACGTAGGTGAAAAAAGGCGGTCCTTGAAATTTGCTTAATGTGAGACTTAAACGACATGTCCTGATCAAAGATAACTCCAAGATTCCTCACAGTGGTGCTGGAGGCCAGGGTGATGCCATCAGAGAAACTATATCTTTAGATAATGCGTCACAGAGGTGCTTAGGCCCCAGAGCAATAACTTCAGTTTTATCTGAGTTTAACATTAGAAAATTACAGGTCATCCAGGTTTTAACATCCTGAAGGCACATGTAGGCTAAATAAAATGTTATATATTATTTATATTGTTGATTGCATTAATACTATTGTTGATTTTCTTGTTATTGCCGATACGACTATGATATGAAAAGCCTAAATAATAAGTTAGCATAATAATGTCACTTAATATCGGTCACAACTGACATATTTAGGCAGAATATGACAACGTTTTGTGAGTTTCGAGGTGTGAAGTCAGACAAACACACCTGGAAACATGCTAGTTTGAACTATGTTGGTTCAAACTAAGTTAGTTCAAAATACGGTGGTACCAACATGCTGTGTTATGTATGTGGGCTGTAAAACCTTATCCAGAATGGATTATGTAAATATTACATTTTTAATGATCAAAAAAACAGCCAGTGGTTTTAAACATATTACACTTTTACTTATTTCCAGTTGAAGCTGGTTTTAACAGTCTGTGTAAATTATAATACTAAAGTTAAAGTAAAAGAGCTATACCAAACAATTTCAATATTCCACAAAACCATGTCAATTAATTGAAAATAATATTAAATAAAGTTAAATTTATAGCTACATTTAAAGTAAATAATACAAAAAAATATAATTCAGAGTGATTCTGAACAATATATAACATTCTCAATATATACTACACACAAGAGGTTTTCCTCCTTCACTACTTTTTACCAATTATACACTAAAGGTAAGACTTTTACTATGTCTTGCTCTGAACTTTTATATTTGAACAGTGTTTTGAAAAATGTCTTGAACAGGGTCATTACTGTTTAGTTGAGAAGTGGCAACGAACAGTGTTATTCCAAAAGATTTTTCTGACATATCCTCCTGCTCCCAGACAGCCACAGCTTCTCCTGTCTCCCCCATTCACTTTCCTGGAGTGCATGTGAAGGGGGGCAGGGAGGGGTGACAGCCGTTAACAGTAAAAACACATTTTTAATTAGCGTTATTGCTTGCATTTGAAGTAATAAGTTCTACATCCAATCAAAGTAAGGATGTTAACAAATAAATTAGACAATGCAATTTACTGATATTCCCAAAGTTATGGTCTTGACTGAATTTGAAATAAAATCCTGAGTCCTCAATGTCCGAGACCGAGACATGACCAAGTACATATGGTGGTCTTATGACCAAGACCGGTCTCAAGTACTACAACACTAGCTGCTATCCATCGATGACCCCCGCCCCAGTTACGCAGTCATTCTGTGGGAAACACTGCAGATATGTTTATTTTTAGTTAAACACTATAATTTGACCACTTATTAATGTTAGCGCTCTTCCACTGATGAACATGGTATTAGATAGCTTTGTGGCTAATCTAATATAGCAGTGCTTTCGCAGGTGTAAGCAATGTTACAGAATATTTAGAAGTGATAATGACAGAACCGTTTGCTAGAACCACCACTTCTGAAATAAAATTTCAGAAGTAAAAATAAAAATACAATCATGTTTGGCAACAGCGTAGCCTGCACCACTCAACTACTGTAATTTAAACATGCTGTGAACAGTAAACGTACTGCCAAGAAAATTGAGTGTGTTAGCAAGTAATACTTGCCATGTTTTGTCATGAATGTAAACTTGTCAGGCTTATTTGGGCTAAGAGGAGAAGTGATGATTTTTATTATTATTTAAGTGATGAAAAGATGCATTTCACATGACGAACGGCCGACTCACCGTGAAAACAGTAGATCTCCATGCCTGGGTGTGTATGCTCTGCCACTGGCTAGGCTGACAGCTTTCTTCTGTGGTGGTTTTTTGGCACTGTTGTCAGCTGGGGAGTTGCAGAGCGCTCTCTGGTGGGAAAACTATGCAACACTCATAAAATGAGTGAAGGATAATACTCTGTTTCTTTTTAAAATCATCCTTCATCAGCTGTTATAAACGCAGATGCCGATTTAAATGCAATTAAGTCATATTGGACGATGATATTAGTCGGGCTCTAATGGGTACTAATGATTTATGGCCCTCACCTCTCCATTCATGATTCTATTGTCTTAGCTATCACCACATCATCAACACATTTGTATGATGATTCCTCAAGATTGAAGTGGTTCTCCTGGATGACGGCCTTTCTCTCATCTGAAATATTGTCTGTTAGACCAAAATGGGGATGGGGGAGGGATCTGTATCTGCCAGGAATGTTCGTGTGAACTGATGGGGATGCTAGTGGAATTTAAGTAAAACAGTTCTGAGGTATGTTTGACCATAATTACCAGCTACAATAAAAACACCATCTGGTTGTTTTGTCATGTGACTGCTGATGACCTCATACTGTTCTTTTAGTGCATTTTTTGAATTTGCATTTGAAGGAATGTAAACAGCAGCAAAAAAACATTGGAGAATTCAGATAATACAGACGAATGCTGGTACCCTCAGAAGGCTGGCGATGAACGGGGAACCTCTCCAGAGGCCGGCAACTAAGACGGATCCCCTCAGGAGGTCAGGCTGGAGACTGGTAGCAATGTCAGAATGGGGCAGCAGGACTGGAGACATGCAACAGGGCAACTGGCAACTAGAGTGCCAAACTAGGAGCCGACGGATGCAGTGCGGAGCTGGAAGCCGAAGGCTGGTGCTGTAACTCAGCGGGATAAGGGGATTGCTGCTGTGGCTCAGCAGGGTCAGCAGCATGCTGCAGCTCAAAACTGGAAACAGCTGCAGTTCAGTGGATTGCTACAGCACAGGAACAAATTATTCTTGCAGCTCAGGAGGAACAAGTGACTACTGCAGCACAGTTCAGCGAATTTCTGCAGCACCAGAACAGAAGACAACTGCAGCTCAGGCTTAGTGGATTGCTGCTTCCTGGGAATATGATCCAGGACCTCAGCTCCCTCACTAAAGAAGCCAAGCAGAGAATGTAGTTCCTGCCGCAGCTGAAGAAGTTCAAGCTGCCAAAGACAATGAGTTCTACACCGCCGTCACTGAGTCCATCCTCACCTCCTCCATCACCATCTGGTGTGCTGCTGCTACTGCCAAGGACACCAGCAGTGGACCAGTACGTATTCAGGACACTGAGGCGAGCAGGAGAAATTCTGACTTCACCCTCCCACCCTGGACACAAACGTTTTTAATCACTTTCAGCTTGCAGCTTCAGTCCACCAGGACCAAAAGCTCATGCCATTTCATATTTTATTGTCAATTTATGCATCCTGAGTCTGTTGTGGGATTTTGTTGCCTGTTATATGGTTCTTTTGTTCTTCTGCACAGGCTGTGGCTTTGTATTTTGCTGTTAACACAGAAGTTTATAAAGGTTAAAACCTGATTCTGAAGCTTGCTAATACTGTATGAGGTTAAATGATCCTAATTGGTCTAAAGTGCATAGTGCTGACACCAAGTTACATAGATTTTCTTTGCCTGCTGTGTTGGGTGATACATGAGCTGCTTTAACACTTTTCTCTCCATGTCTTAATCTCTTAATGCAGGACATTTAACATTTAACCTTTAACGCTTCCTTTCCTCTCCTTGTCTGTCTTGGATTCCATTAATATTTGCACGACATTATTCAAATCAAGTCATATTTGTATTCCTTTAGACCTCCCTCTTAAGCTGACCAAGCATTCTAGAAGAATCTTCATAAGCTTGTTACAAAAGTCTTTAAAGTAAAATAAACCCTGCTCCCAGCATCCTCTTGGGGTTCCATGTGATAAGCTTTGATGTGTGTAACCTGCAAAGCTAGCTAGCAACCTTTACATTACCTTGGAACGTCTTGAGGCCTATTACTATTTCATCAGGTCATGGGAATTTAAAAAAAATCCTTAACACAACTTTGCTTCCGTCGAGCACATCATCCGCTGGCATGTTGGGTGTTCAAATTTGTTTTGATATTATGTGTAATCCTATTGGGATATAACTCTTAGCCAAATTTGTAAACACATCTTTCAGTTTTTTCTCACCCAAAAAACAGATCTTTTCCAAAACTGTTTCTGGAGTGTATACATCTGAAAATACTGGCTCGGTGTTTGGGAGGAGAACCAGACCAGGGACTGTAAACTTCTCTGTGATCGCTCATTTTAAATGTCTGGGCTTGCCTAAATGGGTTATGCTTAGACTTCCAATACATAAACATGACCAATAAATATAATCATGCAATCTGCATACCGTAAAACTTCAATTGATAGCCGAGTCCAAATAGCCGCCTACCTCCTTTACTGGCCTGGTGTGGGAACACATTTTGACAAATAAACGCCTGCCTCCATTAAACGCCTGGTCTGGTTTTTATAGAAGTTCTTTGGATGTATTAAACCTCTTAAACCCTGCGGGGTCGCCCGCTTTAGCTGCTTCTAGGCTGCTTAGATCGTGAACACAAATATTAATGTTTAAACGTCAGTATGAACATGCTACACATCGTTATATCGGTTAGATTCTCCACAATTCAGTCGTTCAGTTCATTTAACGCAAAGAACAAGCCCCAAAGTCTAATTCTTAACCTGCAGGGTATGAGAGGAAAGGAGAAAAAGTGTTGAACGCCATTACCTTTGAAGCCTCATTAAGTCCGCTCGTTAAGTCTGAATGTGTCCATTCCTTGAGTATTTATCTTCCTCTGTAAGGGTCCACCGATCAAAAGAATCAGAAAAATTAATCCAAGTTGTGAATCCTGTCATGTGAAGTCCGTCGATCTCTGTCTGCTAACTTCTGCTGCACTTCTCTCATCTGTGCATCTGCACCCTGTTGTTGTTTTCGTTAGTTGCTGCCTTCAAAATAAAAGCGCACAAGCCGTCTGTCGGAGCTAGATCAAATGAATTACGTGTATTTGATATTATTTGATCATTTTTCAAGTATTATTCTGTTTGTTTTGTGCAAAAGGAATTAAAGGCCTGTCCCATATGGACGCATGTCCCAAATATAGTCAGGGTCAATTTAGTGATTTTAGCAAATAAAAGCCCGGGCTATTATTCAAAGTTTTACGGTAATATCCATCATAACTGAGGTGAATCTGACTTCACAAAAGGACAATGTTACCTTTATAAACTGGTAATACAACTAATACCATCACAGTATATTGGGAATTTCCTGAGCCCCCATTCAGGATCAGAGTCGATCAGATCTTTTTTTTACTTGATCAGTATTGGCTGCTTAAAGCCAGATTCTTTTCTGATCCCTTCTTTTCTGTAAACCTAACACACAAATAAACCACAAGACAGAAAGAATAAATAGAGGCACATCATTTTAGCAAATTAGTTCCATGCTGACTGCTTGCATTATTTAGTGGAAATGTATATGGGGAAAACCTCTTTAAGTGATCACATCTATCTGGGTCAAATTGATCACTATTAATGAATGCTTATTCTTACCTATTTCCTTTTATTTTTCTTTATATCTCATGCAGATTACTATCTAACTGAGATTTGTATATATATTACATGAATATACAGTTCTGAAATGATAGCTTTGGCTTTTTACTGAGTTGTATTAGCTATTTCAAAAAGCTTTTCAAATGACAAATTAAATTACTGTACTGTGTATAATTAATATACACTATATAGTATTGGAAATAAAATATAGCTTACTGTAGTTTCAATTATAATTCGGCTATAGCCTAAAACACTACTGTTCTCCATTCTTAACAGCCTGAAAATAAACAAAAATGAACGATGTAAGCAGACTACTTGATAACTATAAGCAAATTATTTAAATAGCATATGTACGGAAATGACTCACTTCCATGAATTTTGATCCATATAAGAGGTTGATCACTTTAACTGTGATCACAATAACCAGTTGAACTCCTCCCGCAGGTTACCTGGTAGCAGGTACAGGTACAACTTTTCCTCAAAGGAAAACCAATAAAAGTAGAGTAGAGTTGAGGTGAGTTGAGCTGGTACTTTCTGTGGAAAAGGGTCTTTACTGTGGCAGTGTGGGAGTTGTAACCAAAAGGTAAATGCAGATATGAAAAAAAGAAACAGGACATTTCCGTAGAGACTTGAAGTTGAGGTTGTGTGCTGTGTTGTGCTGTTTTGTGCTGCAGTGCCTGGAGCTCCTCCAAGGAAGGTGGAGGCAGATGTCCTCAACTCCACTGCCCTCAGGGTGACCTGGAAGTCTCCCCTGTCTGTGAAGCAACATGGCCAGATCAGAGGCTACCAGCTGGTCTACTCCAGGCTAGAGAACGGGGAGCCTCATGGCCAGCCGGTCATCATGGATGTTTCCATCCCTGAAGCCCAGGTACTGTCATACTCTTATAAAACTGAGTCTAATGACACGTTAAGCAGGTTATTTTTGTTTATTTGTGCAGGAGCAATGGCTGGCTTACTGAATCACTGGGAAATAAGTCTATACTTAATTCTGTTAGATTAATGCAGCAGCATACAGTTAGACACAGAGATAGAGAAATGTCTTGTACAGTCCTTAATATCACTCAAATACATTTTATTTATATAGTGCCAATTCATAATAGCAATTATCTCAGTGCACTTTTCATATAGAGCAGATCTAGACTAGAATAAGTAACAGATGTGTTACGTCAACCTTCATCTTTTATGAAAAATGAAATAATTTTAATAAACAATGAAACACTGAAAGAGCTAGTTTTAAAATTGTGGAGGAAAAAAAGGTAATAATCTGACATTCATGTGTGGATAAAGAAAGCAATGCAGCTAATTCCAGCTTTACATAGAGCATGTGAGCATATAGCAATTAAATGTGATGTGATTAAACTCAGTGTCCTATCATTGTTTTGTCTGATTTTCTAAAACAAGCAGAAAGATTCACTCACTAATAACATTAAATGTCTGTAAATGTCCTGTTATGTCTGAATTAAAATGTAGAAGACCCCTCTGTCTGCATGAGAAAAAGCCATCCCTGTAACAAATAGATAAAGCCAGCATTGTTGCGTATTCCATGTCTGAAAAGGGCTAATGGATAGTGCTCTTTTAATGAACATACTTATCTATTTTTATTTGGTTAATTTTGTGTTTATTTTGAATTAAATCAGTTTTTGAATTAAATTGTTGTTTTAGTTGAGGAGCCTTGAACATGTTGCCCCAGCGCCAACCCTCCACCCCCACTTCTGAAACTAAAGTTAACAGGAAAATTTGAGCAGATATCAGAAAAAATAAGAGGAAATGCATTTAAATAACACAACATGAAAGTGAATAGGGCCATTAAATAGTAATAGCAATAAGCTTTGAAATTAACTTCACAATATGTGAAATGTTTTAATGCAAAACAAAATAACCAGATTAGGATGTTTTTAGAAGCTCTATCTGCTTCCAAACTTTCCCTGTCGTGTTTTGCCAAGCATAGACATAGGTATACAGAGGCTCAGACACCAGACTGAGCAAATAAGGTTTGTGTTGTTTAATTAGAAACAGTCAGAAGAGGTGAACAGGCTCACACGTTGCAAAGAAAGGCAATAGTCCAAACACAGGTAAGCAGTCCAAAATAAGGCTAACAAATAATAGAAATAATTCAGGAAACAAGCACTCGACAACATACAAAGACAAACTAACAATGGAAGAACACTGACTTAAAGACACAAAAAGGGAGGTGATAACAAGCTATCCGTGGAAACAGTAAGGGTGTAACTAACACCAACATATTGGCAAGAAGTAGAAGTGACCGGAAATGAGAGGAGAGGTAAGTAACAAAATAAAACAGGAAACACAGTAATGAATGAAGAAATGACAAGACAAAAACAGAATCCAAAACAGAAAATGAGAAGACAGAAAGTGAAATACACCAAGACATAAGAGAAGGGGCTTACCAAAATAACATCAGGAAACACCTAATTTAACCCCAAAGACCACGACCATGATAGGATCTGTACAGAATGTGTCTTACCAATCTAATATGTGCAAATGATTTCTTATCTTTCCCTGAAATAGAGAAGGGATGAAACAGATATGGGATTGTGTGTGGTCTGCTGTATGCTTATGAAAATGTATTTGTGATTGTGTATCCAAATGCTGCCTCATTTTTATGATGGGAACCCACAATGCCTTGTTATTTTATCAAAATAATTGGAATTCATGTGTGTTGCAGTTTTCTTTTTATTCCAGCTTACAGTAGTGGAAAACATCCACAATTATGACAATATATTGTCTCTGGTCAGGCAAAGATTACCGACAACCTATATACTGTGCATGTGTGGAACGTGTCCACCAAGCTCACTGCAGAAGGTAGTATAAACAGAAGTAGTCTGCGTCCGCGGGGTCCGCATTTGTCTGTGTCCACGTCCGCTCCCAATTATATTTGAGGCTTCAGGCTTAGAAACCCAGAGAAGGAGCCCAGATAGCGCTCTGAGCTAACAGAAACGCTCAGAGTTCCTCTGGATAACACTGGATAACCCTGGGCTTGTTGGCTATCCCCATCGCTCTTCTGCCCAGTTTCTAAGGCCCATGGACTGGTAACTTTTACCTGTCAGACCGCATATCTCAAAAAGGTACTACCTATTGACTGTTACTGCTCCAGTTGGAGTGAATTCATACAAGAAGACTTATTTGTGAGTAAAACAGCCTCTAACAAAGGTCTGCTGTATCGTAAGCCGTAGAGTCCCCCCCCTCCGTTAAGCGAGTGAGTGGCTAGTTAGCTGTTAGCTGTTACGAGCTAACCCAGCTCAACACGTGCTATTGGATACGCTGTGTCACATATCAGACACACAGAAACGCCCCTATTTACTGGGAGAAATGCCCAAATGCGAAATAATTGCTGCAAAATATGTCTCCTCATGGAACCTCAGACTAACAAATAATTGAAAAGAAACATTAAAATATATATTCTAATTGAAATCTGGCTGAAAATTTTACAATTTGTACTAGAACCAATCATTCTATATGGTAGCAAAATCTGGGGGCCAAAACTTAATAATGAATTTGACAAATGGGACAAAACAATCATAGAATCTTTCCATACTGAGTTCTGTAAGAGCATCCTGCAGGTGCAGAGAAAGACACCAAATAATCTGTGCAGAGCAGAGCTCGGCCAATACCCCCTCCTACTAAAAATACAGAAAAGATCAAATTTTACCAGTCAGTCAGTCATCAATCAGTTAACCCCCAGACATATCATCACAAAGCCCTAACATACCAGGAGCTGAAACCAGAGAAGAGTCCCCTCAGCCAGCTGGTCCTGAGGCTCTCTGCAGTAACAAATCCCCAACAGCCTCAGGACAGCAACACCAACTCAAGCAGACCAAACCAAATTATCAGCAAGCAGAAAGAAAAATATATTGGATACTGGAAAGAAACACCAAAACACAAAGTAAATTCCGATGTTATCTGACCCTAAAAAGAGAATTCACACTGGGTACAATAAAATGTCCTAAACTAAGAAAAATGTTGACAACATACAGACTGAGTGAACACACCCTGGACATAGAAAAGTGTCACAACAGACAGAGCTGGCTACCACAAGAGGAGAGACTCTGCTCCCAATGTGACAGGGGACAGGTAGAGACAGAGCTGCACTTTCTAACCTCATACCCCAAATATAAAACACAAAGACAAAAACACTTTGCAAACATTTCCCAAATATACCCCGAATTCGAATTCATATCAGACACACAGAAACTCCCCACACAAACATACACATGCTTACTGTTTTGTTTATTTATTTATTTTTAATATATTTTTACACACGCTTATTTTTATTTTTTATATATTTTTAAACACACACACACACACACACTTACTGTTTTATTTATTTATTTTATTTTAACTTTTAATATTTTATATATATATATATATATATATCTTTTTTTCTTCTTTTTTAAACACAAACACACATACGCTTTGATTACTTTACGCTTTAATTACTTGTTTAATGAAATGTATGGGGCTGATTGTTCTTATGTTGTATATGATGCTTTGGCAATGTTGTTATTACATTCATGCCAGTGAAGCTAATTTGAACTGAATTGAATTGACTGTTAAACACTCCCCAGCAACTAAAAAGGCCTGCAACCATAGGGTCATGTCCCCCCCCTTTCTGAGGGATGTCCCCCCCCTTAAAAACCATCAGATAATATAATGATACATACTTAAAACAATTGTGTAAATAGTAAAACAATACAAACGCAAACTTTTTAAGTTTAGAAACATTTTGAGTCCCCCCTCTCTTGCCTCACAGTTGTTTGGTCCACTGCCTGCTTTCCCTCTCACAGGAGTCCGGTGGGAGAAAACCAGTTCAAATCCGTCAGTAGCTGTGGAACTCCAGTAATGTTAAGCAGGCTGACAAGGCTGTTTTATGAACTTTAAACATTGGATGAAGTGATTCTTTTATCTTTAATACAGGTGATGCTGAGTCATTAATAAAGTAATCATGACAAAACGTCATGATAACCGATTGTTCTATGAGCCCTTTGTTATTATAACATTACCTAGCTTATTTGGTAGCTTATTTAACAGCTTATTGGACTGGAACTCATCTTCTACAGCTAGAGATGCGCAGATTGATCAGCTTGGGAATTGAAATAGGCTGTTTATTTTAGCTTACTCGGCTCCGACCAGTGACCGGGATCGAGCGGTGTCAAATTGAATGTTAAACAGGCTGAGCTGCACCGTGTTTCACATGTGTGCACAGACAGCAACCTCTTGTCACACACACACACACACACAGGCTAAAACATGTCTTAGGTGTGTGGAAGTTATTCACGAGAGTGAAGAACACGCAATGCTCACTACATCTGCAGAAAAAACACAGAAAGAGACGCTGTGGATATTGTAAAGCAGGGAGCAGGTAAAGCAACAGTGAACACAGCTGTTGGTGACAATGTCATTCAGACCACGGTGGGCTCTATCGCGGCTCATCTGCGTCTGTGAAAACGGAATCGCTGGTGAAAAGATACCAAACGCGAGTTCTTTTAAATAAAACTGCTGACAAAAAAAGTCACAGCAGAAAGAGAGAGAGACGACAGGTGTAGGTGTGTGCTTCTGTGTCTGAGGGGAAAAGCAAGGTGAACAGGTTACTGTACTGTTTGTGATTAAATACAAAAATAAATTGGAGAATTAAGTAGTGTTATGTAGTAAAATGTTATTTTATTATCAATGTTTCATTATGACCATACAATTGAGACCAGTGAGAACAGCCACCATTTATACTGGTGCTGATGGGGATCCTAATAAAAATAGATTTTTCCAATAAATAGTTACAAAAACGTTTGTGTATGTTGTCAATTATAGATCTTAGAAAGAAATAAAATCGGAATCAGCAGGTCAGACCTCTTA